GGAGAGCCGGATCCGCCTGCCGAAGCCGACAGAGCCCGGGGTTAGTCCCAGGGCGAAAACCGCCTGGAGGCAGGGACTTGGGACCAGTGGAACCTTCTCCCGCGGCCACGTCCCACCCTCCACTTTGTATTCTGGCCGGGCTGTGGTGTGGGCAAGGACAGGCTTCGGGGTCAGAGGAGCCCCGTGCCAGCAACACCCTCCCAGCAGGTGCAAGCGGAGGTGGCCTGGTCCCCACCAGAAACGGAAGGATGAGCTCCCTGGCTGTGGCGGCATCCTGGAGCCCACGGCGAGGGAGGGGCCGGCGGGGGAGGGGGCCGTGTGCCCAGAGCACTTGGCCCGCAGCAGGTGGACAGGTGCTGCGGGGGCGGGGGCAGGCTGTGGTCTGAGTCACCGCACATGAGGGAGCGCCTGCTGCTGCCCGCATGCGTGTTCTGGGTTCAGCTCCACCCCGGGCCCAGCCTGGCCTTGGCCCGAGAGGTATTTTCAGCCTCGCTCTTTCTGAAACAGTTCAGGGTGACCCTGAACCGTCCCCTGCCGGTCTCCAAGCCACACCCTGCCCAGGTGAGAGCCCTCTGGGCCACAGGCGTGAGGTGGGGACATAGGATGCCCGCAGTGTCCTTCTGTGGGTGAGGAGGGAGAGCCTGGCGCCCAGCGCTCTTCCCCACGCCCCCAAGGCCACGGCTGCCAGTCCTCCACCTGCCCCTGCCCCTGCCCCGTCTTCTCCCCCTCATGCCGCCTCCCTGCGGGCAGGCTCGGAGCCGCCCCCTCAGCCCCTGCAGTGGCACTTCCATGCTCCTGTCCCCAGGGCAGCTGCTCGGGGGTGGGCGCTGTGGGTGGCTCAGGCATGTGTTGGCGGTGAGCTCAGTGCCCGGGGTAGACCAGGTGCCCCGCAAAGAACGCGCCTGAAGGACGGGATGCCAGCGCTCTGTCCTGCCCCCAGGACGGACAATGCCCTGGTGTGCGTCCTGAGCATATGGCTGGGAGCCACAGTGCCGTGCAGGGGCCGGAATGGCGCCTGCCCTGGGGGGCGTGGTGCCTGGGGGCGTGGGCCAGACCCCAGCACAGCTCCAGCCTCTCCGGGGTCCGCAGATCCCCCCCAGGGTGGTGGGTACAGCAGCACTGCCCCAGACAGCAGCACAGAGCTCTCGCCGCGTCTCCGTGGGGTGTGTGCACGCGCGCGTGTGTGCACAGGACCCAGACCCGGTCCCTTCACATAGCCAACTGCTTCTGGTCCAGGAAACCAGAGGGGCACTCACTGTGTCCCATCTGAAGGCGGAGCTGGCCTGGGGCCCCAGATGCCCCGTGCTCATTTTCTGCCTGGGCTGAGATGCCGGACACGGGCTGCTCCCTCACCCCCGGGCCCACGCCGGGCAGGGCCCCGTCCCCAGTCCTCAAGCTGCCGCCACCTCTATGGACCCCTCAGTTCTGGCTGAGTTTAAAGTGTTTTTCTCAAGTCTCATTCAAGTTCAAAGCCTTGAGCCAAGAATAGTGAGCACACAGCGGGGAGGGGCCTTCAGCTCGGGCGAGTCTGCCAGGAGGCGGGATCTGGGCCCTCTTGCCCACAGTGTCGCCCACGGAGAGGCCTCAGGACCTGGGACTCTCACAGGACGCACAGGCCCGCCCGCCACCAGGAAGTCCTCAGCCCAGTGTGGACGGTTGCTATGGAGACAGCGGCCTCCGGGCCAGCAGAGGCGCTCTGGCCGTTCTTGCTGCTGAGCGTGGAGCTCGTGGTCTCAGCGACCCAGTTCCCCTGGCACCCACGACACGGGGGCCGCCACAGCCAGAACAAAAGGACGCTCGGGCCGGGCCCGCAGGTACTCAGCGCAAGCCCAGGCTCAGGTGCTGTCGTCCCTCTGCTGTGACCGCAGTGTCCCCACGCCTCCGCCAGGCTGAGGCTCAGAGACGCAGCTGACGGACAGCCAGGGGCCCGGCACCAGGAGGCTTGTGCTGTGTGTGTGAGGCAGCGGCAGGCGTGTGCTGGGTGCATGGGTGCAGCGTCCCGGGGTGTGTGTGTGTGTATGTGTACCAGCAGGCGTGTGCTGGATGCATGTGGTGCAGCGTCCCGGGGTGTGTGTGTGTGTGTGTGTGTGTGCGCACCCGGCAGGTGTGTGCTGGAGTGCAGCATCCCGGGGTGTGTGTGTGTGTGTGTGTGAGTGCAGTGGCAGGCGTGTGCTGGGTGCATGTGGTGCAGTGTCCCGGGGTGTGTGTGTGTGTGTGTACCGGCAGGCGTGTGCTGGATGCATGTGGTGCAGCGTCCCGGGGTGTGTGTGTGTGTGTGTGTGTGTGCACCCGGCAGGTGTGTGCTGGAGTGCAGCATCCCGGGGTGTGTGTGTGTGTGTGTGTGAGTGCAGTGGCAGGCGTGTGCTGGGTGCATGTGGTGCAGCGTCCCGGGGTGTGTGTGTGTGTGTGTACCGGCAGGCGTGTGCTGGGTGCATGTGGTGCAGCGTCCCGGGGTGTGTGTGTGTGTGTGTGTGTGTGCACCCAGTAGGCGTGTGCTGGGTGCATGTGGTGCAGCGTCCTGGGGTGTGTGTATGTGTGCTTTGTGTGTGCACCCGGTAGGCGTGTGCTGGGTGCATGGGTGCAGTGTCCAGGGGTGTGTGTGTGTGCTGTGTGTGTGCGCACCCGGCAGGCGTGTGCTGGGTGCATGTGGTGCAGCATCCCGGGGTGTGTGTGTGTGTGTGTGTGTGTGTGTGTACCCAGCAGGCGTGTGCTGGGTGCATGTGGTGCAGCATCCTGGTGTGTGTGTGTGTGTGTGTGTGTGTGTGTGTGGCGTGAGTATACGGCAGGCATGTGCTGGGTCCCTCTGGCCTGGTCTGATGGTGTGTGTGTGTGTGCTGTGTGTGTGTGTCTGTGTGTGCCGTGTGTGTGTGTGTACCAGCAGGTGTGTGCCAGGTCCCTCTGGTCTGGTCTGATGGTGTGTCTGTGTGTGTGTACCGGCAGGTGTGTGCCGGGTCCCTCTGGTCTGGTCTGATGGTGTGTATGTGTCTGTGTGTGTGTACCGGCAGGTGTGTGCCGGGTCCCTCTGGCCTGGTTTGATGGTGGCCGCATCCCTGACACCTCTGTGTAGCGAGGGCCTCTGCTCCAGCCACGCCTCATCACAGGCGCCTGCCCAGGGCTTATTTTTCTTCGGGGTTTAAGGCACCTGCTCAGACACAGCATTCGTGGGAGGCAGAAAGAACTTGCCCCGACGATGGCTCCGGAGGGCGCAGCCTGGCAGCACCCACAGAGGGGCGGGGTGGGGGCGGGGCTTAGGCGCATCCTGAGTCATGGCGGTCCGGGAGCCAGGGTTTGGTCCTCCCTCTTCCTGCAAAACCCACGTATATGACGCTGGTTCTTCTCAGACCAGCAGACAGGGGCCTGGCCAGGCTAGGCAGGACAGGGGCCGGCAGGCAGACCTGCAGCACAGGCGACCCCAGGACTCCCGGGCTGGGGGGGCGAGTCTGCCCCACATGGAAGCGGCAGTGCCGAGTGGCCGGAGGACAGAGCCATCCTGCCACTGTGGGACGAAGGCGTGCGGCCCAGGGGCCAGCCTGGGTCTCCCAGCGCGCCCGTCCTGCACTCGTAGCTTCTCTGTCCCAAGAGCTCGGCGCTGTGGCCCGGGCCTCTCCCCGGCGCCTATGCCAGCAACAAACACGCGCTCGGTGATGGAGCAGGCCTCTGTGGTCCGAGCGCCCGCCTGGGCCGGCGAGGCAGCCACACGCACGTGTGGACGGAGGGCGTGTGCATGCCAGCTGTCAACCTCACAGCCAGCCCCACCTGCCCACCCCCGCGGCCTCGGCCACCCCCCACCCGCCTCCCGGGGCCCTGGCTCCAGTGCGGCCCCCAGTTCTCCTGGCGAGGCTGATGCTGCCTCAGCCGCTTTGAGAGGCAGGAAGAAAACGGACAGACACGGCACACTTGACAGTTTTATGATGGAGACCGACAGTGCAGCGCTCTGAGCGTGGCTGACAGTCGGCACTCGGGGCCGCCCCCACCCCAGGCGCCAGACGCCCTGGAGCGGCCTCCAGCACACACACGGCCTCCAGGTGAAGGCGTGGGCTCCGGGGGACAGTGCAGTGTCAAACACAAGGTCAGGCGCCCAGGGACGCGTGGGACACGCGGGCGACACGCCACCCTGCTAAGGTGACAGCGGAGCTGCGTGGAAGACGTCGCGCAGGCGTCCTCACTCATCAGCACAAGGTCCTACGGTGACACCCGCCCGGCAGGGACCGGCCAGAGGACTGGCCTGCAACCCACCTGCAGGGGAGGAAGAGGATGGAGACCCCCGCGGGCCGGGGCCTCTCCCGCACTCCGCTGCCCACCTCTGCTCACACAGCAACCGCAGCTGCAGCCCCGGCGCACGGAGCCACGCTGGGCCAAGTCCATCTTCTCCGCCAGAACGCACTCTGCCCCCTGGGGCCGGCGGCCACCCCGGCCACGCACCGCCGGGTCACACCGGCTCCTCCCGCGCCCCTGGCTCTCAGCAGGTGCCCTCCCCAGGCCGCGAGAGCCCTCGGCATAGCTACCAAACACAGTAAAAAAAAAAATACAAAAGTTATTTTCTCCTTTTGTTGCTATTTACTTGTGACAACATTTGTTAAAAATAGGACTTCTGGCTTTGAGAAGGGGTCATTGGCTTCGTATGGAAAAATAAACTCTACTGAATACAGTCAACGCGCCCCACCGCCGCCAGGGGCTCTTGGCTTCCGCACTTCCGGGGACAATCAGGGCTGGCTTCCAGGAGGCAGGCACTGCTCCCCGCACCCAGGGCTGCAGGGGAAGGGTAGGGAATGGCAAGGCTCGCACGGTGTCTCGGACGGGGACCAGGGGAGTGGGATGGCGCGTGTGCTCACAGGGTGGCCCAGGTCCCCTGAGGCTGTGGGGTGTCCCCTGCCTGCTCCCAAGCCCTGCTGCTGCTGGGCAGGCGGCCGGGCGGGGTGGGGTGGGGCGGGCCGGGGCGGGGCGGGCTTCCACGTCCGGGATCCTGACCACAGGAGCTCCATGAATGGGAGGAGACAGGATACATACAAACAGTAAAATGTTTATTTTCTTAGAAAAAAAAAGTGAGGACGGGGGTTCAAAGTGATTGTGATCACACGGCCATCTGCGTGCGTCCAGGTGGAGCCCCCGGCGGCTGCGGGCTGCGGCCTGGGCCCAGACGCCCGGCCGAGGGACGCTGGCTGCCCGCCCCCGGGCCGCCTGCAGGAGCCATGTCCCACGCGCCTTTCACCCAAGGCAGTTTCTCCGCTTCTCCCGGGCAGACGCGGGGCTCACCCGGCAACCAGGCCCCGGCCTAACCCCAGCACTGCCGGGAGAAGCCCGGCTCCAGCTCCGCTGTCCCAGCCCACTCGCAGACGGGGAGGAGGGGCGAGTGGCGGCGGGCAGGAGGGCGACGCTTGCCTGGGGAGCGGAGCCAGAGGGGGAGAAGTGTGCTGGGGGCGCGGCGGCCTCACCCGCAGGAGAGCGCGCGCCCCGCAGCGGCCGGGCGGAGCTGCACGCGGGAGGAGCCGCGCGCGTGAGCGTGAGCTAGCAGCAAGGAGGGAAGCCGGGCAGCGGTGGGCGCCGTGTGTGGAGCAGTGTCCCTGCAAGTCCGCGAGGGGACACCGAAGTCTGACGGGGCGGACGACACGGAGCGGTCTCCTTTTGCTATAATGCTGTTTGCCGGAGAGAACCGATCTCTGCACAGATTTCCACGGGGTGCAACCTATTTACACAGTAGTCGCTGCTCCCGGTCCGGGCGGCGTGGCCGGTGCTATGTGACGTCCTCCTCTTCCGAACAGTAATCGCGACCCTTGGGGCAAACGGAGAGAAGAGAGACGGGTGAGCGCGAGGCTGGAAACGAGGCCTGGGCAGGAGCCGGGGTCCCCGGCTGCTGGGCCCCGAGCGCGCAGGTGGACCTCTGCGCTGGACATCTCCAGGCTCGGAGATTCCGCCAGGCCCTGGCGCTGCGCCGGCCCCAGCTCCAGCAGCGGGTGCACTAGGACTCTGCCCTTCCCCAGGAAGGCGCCATGCGGACAGCGGCCCCTTCTGAGCAAGAGCGAGGCACCTGCAGCGGCTCAACACCGGCGGCTCGGCCCGTGCCGGGAACTCGGGGTCGCGAGGGGAGACGCGTACTCAGATGTAAGCAGACTGATCGGGAGCAAACACGGGCGCGCTGAGCAGGACCACACCTGGCCCTGCGGCCGCCCTGGCCGCCAGGCCACACCTGCCGTGAGGACCCAGCTCCTGTCACAGACGGCGCCGCCCCGGGTCCCTGCGGAGTGCACCCCCCTGTGAGAGCACACGGCACAGGCACGCCCCGCCGCGGCCTGGCCTTGAGGCAGAGCAGGGCGCGAGGGACCGGCAGCTGCACGCACACTCGTTTTGCACGTGGCTGCTTGCCCAGGGCACCGCGCACGCTGTCACAGCACACGTGTGCCACAGACGCTTCACGCCACACTGGCGTGTGTCACCACGGTGAGCACCGGCCCCTGGGGGCTCTTCAGAGGAGCCTCCTCCTCTCCTACACCTACCTCCAGGCCGTGCCGGCCTCCCGGGCTGCTCGGGGCTCCAGCAGCGACGCTAAGGCCCTGAGGGAGCAGCGCCAGGCTCCAGGGAGTCAGCAAACCCTGGAGTGACGCTTCCACGCGCAGGATACGCGGTGCACTCTCATAAGCATGAATACTTGACACTTGCAGGAGATTGGAGACGCCCAAGGTCCGGCAAAGCGGAGGGGGTCTCGCGGCAGAAATGCGAATCTGAGGCAGTTTAGCCTAATGGTTAGGCTGCTGACCCGCATCCGGGGACCTGGATCTGACAGCCGCAGCTACTGCAGACCCAGGGGCGGGGGCGGGGCAGGGGGCGGGGACAGGGGTAGGGGGCAGGGGTTTGGACTGAGTTCCTGGCCGGCAGCGGGAGGTCTCTCTGTCTTTCAAACAAAATGTTCCAGTTTCCTTATTTTTTTTTTTAAGGGAAAACTTTTTAATATTTTTTCTTTAACATTCAAGGTGCGCGTAAAAAGTTGTTTATGATTCCAAGGGGACACAGAGACAGGCAGGCATGGAGAGCTCCCCCTGCTGGTGCCGTGCGCAGGTACGCCCCCGTGGGCTCTACCCACATGGCTGTGCTCTCCCACCAACTTGCTCGGGCCAGTGTTGTGGCACAGCGGGTCAGGCTGCCGCTGCAACACCAGCATCCGGTATGGGTGCTGGTTCGAGTCCCGGCTGCTCCGCTTCCCATCCAACTCCCTGCTAATGCACCTGGAAAAGCGTGGAGGATGGCCCAAGTGCTTGGCCCCTGCACCCACGTGGGAGACGGGGAAGAAGCTCCTGGCCCCTGGCTTAGGCCTGGCCCAGCCCTGGCTGTTGTGGCCTTCTGGGGAGTAAACCAGTGGAAGGAAGATGTCTCTCTTTCATATAAATAAATAAATCCTTAAAAACCACCCAGGTGCTCAGCAGCAAACCATCATTAGAGCTGCAAACCCCGGCCACGACCAGCACTTCCGCGAGGTCGCGGGAGCCCGAGCCGGCTGCGCACAGCAAGCACCGGGGCGGGCGCCGCGGGGACGCCGAGATGCAGCTCCCGAGGGTCCCGAGGCTCCCGGTTTCCTCTCGGCAGGAAAAGCGGAAGTGACTGGAGCCGGGAAAGCTCCCGCGAGCCCTCCCTGTCCCCATCCCCCCTCCCTGGGCCACCTGCAGGTGCAGAGACCGCGATGGCACCCGGGGTGTGTGGAGCCGCCGGGCTGGGGGATCTGAACACCCGTGTCCACTCAGGAGACGGGGAGGGCGGCCTCAGTCAGTAACCACATCTAAATAACTGCTGTAGTGCCGCACCCACGCCGGCAAGGCGCCGTGTCTGACGCAGGCTGCATCCTACCCGTCTTCTGTATTTTCCTACCCCAAGAAACTGGCACAGCGCCAGGTCGTCCGCAGGTGCCGAATCGGCTGTTCTGACTGCGTTTGTGCCGCCGGCTCTGTTCTTTGGTCATCACTAACTTCCGCCAGCTCTCGGCACCGCGACTCTCCCTGGATCAGCGGTGCTGGGAGACAGCCAGGCTGAGCGCCTGCAGACGCTCGCCCCCGGCGTCCTGGCCTCGGGAGGCGGAAGGATGTGCTCTTCCTTCTGTTCCGGAGAGGACACAGCCAGCTCTTCGAGGGTTTTTTTTAGGGAGTGAGAAGGCAAACCCAAACCACGGCCAGAGACACTCGGTAAGCGCCCGCAGCAAAATCAAGGGAGGGCGGTTTAGGCTTTTGCAGGCTCAATTTTGTTTTAACTAATTTAAAGAAGAAAAGGGCATTTCCGGACAGTCCTGGGAGAGGAAGCCCTGTCACTCAGGCTCTCCTGGCACTGACGCAATCGCTCAGCACGCGTCTCTCAGGGGGTTTAATTTCAATCGGCCCTAAGAATCCAAGGAGTGGGCGTGATCAGCTCTGTGCTGGACTCGACCTAGGGTGCACTGGATGGTGACAGCCGCGGGACTAATCGGGAGGGTCCGACAGTTAACTCCAGCCACGCGTCCTGAGGGGAAGATGACGCTCAGCCAAACACATCCGTCAAGACGGAGCACTCGGGGCCGGCGCTGTGGTACAGCGGGTAAAGGCGCCGCCTGCAGCGCCAGCATGCCTTATGGGTGCTGGTTCGAGTCCTGGCTGCTCCACTTCCAATCCAGCTCTCTGCTGTGGCCTGGGAAAGCAGTGGAAGATGGCCCAAGTCCTTGGGCCCCTGCACCCACCCTGGCTTCAGATCGGCACAGCTCCGGCTGTTGCAGCCATTTGGGGAGTGAACCAGCGGATGGAAGACCTTTCTCTCTCTCTCTCTGCCTCTCCTCTCTCTGTGTAACTTGAACTTTCAAATAAGTAAATAAATCTTAGAGAAAAACCAAAAGGAGCACTGAATTTCTGGAGGCTGGGGAGGGAACCAGGACCAAGAAGCAGGGTGGGCGCTCCCTGACGCCCGCGGCGGGCGGCTGCGACTTGAGGATGAGCGCACCAGCGTCAGTGCACTCCACAGGCTAGCGTGGAATCCACGGCGGCGCCTCCGCTCACCAGGCGACAGCCAGAGACAGATGCGGCTGCCGCCGCCAGCACTGCTCCGTGCACCCCGCGCGGTAGGGAGCAGCGAGCCTCCGTGAAGCGAGGGGATTCAATCCCAGACACGCTGCAGAGACCCCAGAGCCCGGCCCGGCTGTGCAGACGCTGTCCACAGAAGTGACTTAACATTCAGGCTTCAGCTTGTACAGGTGCCTGCGGACTACTGAGCAGATGGCTCTGATGCCAAAAGGATGAGCAAGTGTGTGTGCCTGTGTGTGTGCAATGTGTGCATGTGTGTGCCATGTGTGCATGTGTGCGCATTCCTGGGTGTGCAATGTGTGCATGCGTGTGTGTATGCCATGGGTGCATGTGTGTGCCATGTGTGCATGTGTGCGCATTCCTGGGTGTGCAATGTGTGCATGCGTGTGTGTATGCCATGGGTGCGTGTGCCATGTGTGCATGTGTGTGCATGTCTGTGTGTGCATGTGTGCGTGCCTGTGCGTGCAATGTGTGCATGTGTGCGCATGCCTGGGTGTGCAATGTGTGCATGTGTGTATGCCATGTTGTGTCATGTGTGCATGTGTGTGCGTGTCTGTGTGTGCATGCACGTGTGCTTGTGCGTGCAATGTGTGCATGCGTGTGTGCCTGTGTGTATGCCATGTGTGCATGTGTGCCCTGTGTGCATGTGTGTGCCATGTGTGCATGCATGTGTGCCTGTGTGTGTGCAGTGTATGCATGTGTGTGTGCCTGTGTGTGCCTGTGTGTGTGCATAGTTCAAAGACATGATCCCCATCACAGTGGGATGAAATCACTCCTTTTAGGGGCCAGCGCTGTGGTGCAGCAGGTTCAAGACACAGCCTGCAGTGCCGACATCCCACATGGGCGCTGGTTCAAGTCCTGGCTGCTCCACTTCCGATCCAGCTCTCTGCTGTGGCCTGGGAAAGCAGTAGAGGATGGCCCAAGTCCTTGGGTCCCTGCATCCACTTGGGAGACCAGGAAGAAGCGCCTGGCTTTGGCCTGGCCCAGCTCTGGCCGTTGGGGCCATTTGGGGAGTGAACCAGCAGACAGAAGATCTCTGTCTCTCTCTGCAACTTTCAAATAAATAAATCTTAAAAGAAAAAAAAAAGTTAAGGATTACTCTAAAACAGGACGAGAACACGGCTGTCTGTAAGGCCTCCGCTGACTGACACGGCTTGAGAGCAGGTTCTCTTGGGACCTCGGGAGACCGGGCGAGACTCTGTGACCTACAACGTGATGGGCAGGCAGACGCCTCACCGACAACCACAACACCCCAGCCTTCAGCCGGGAACCGCCAGGCACTGAGCCACGCCCTGCCCGCACCGCCACGCCCTGCCCACTCACTGAGCCACGCCCTGCCCACGCCGTCACGCCCTGCCCACTCACTGAGCCATGCCCTGCCCACTCACTGAGCCACGCCCTGCCCACTCACTGAGCCACGCCCTGCCCACGCCGCCACACCCTGCCCACGCCGCCACGCCCTGCCCGCGCCGCCACACCCTGCCCACTCACTGAGCCACACCCTGCCCGTGCCACCACGTCCTGCCCACACGGGGCATTTGCTGCCCTTCTACTGGTGCCGCAGAAAACCCACGGGCAGTGTCTCGGGCCCAGGGCAGCGGGGGCTGCGGCTGAGAGAGGCGGACGGACCTGAGGCCTCCGTCACCCGCCGTGGGGCTCGCACAGGAGGGCTCAGGTGAAGAAGAGAAAACCTGGAACTGGGAGGAAGGCGGAGGCAGCCACGATGGCCCGGCCAGAGCGCACTGAGCTCCGAACGCGGGACGCCCTCTGAGCAGGTCGTGGACGGCCACGCGCAGGCTCCTAACCCCACCGTTACCAACCTACCCCTCTGTGGGGCTGTGCGAGGTCCCGCAGGCACACGGGCCCCCGCGGAGCCCCTCACCCCGTGCGCGTCTGACAGCCGGCACACGGCCCTCCGGGATCTAAGCTTCCACACAGGGCACCCTGCTGTCCTACTGATTCAACCTGCAAACCCACACACGGCCAGAGAGGCGACCTGGGGCTCAGCCGGAGCCGGAGCTGCGCTGTTCTCTGTTCTCTGCCCCTCAGGGAAGGCGGCCGAGCAGCCGGGGCCTCCGCACGCTTTCTGTACCGGGCAGGCGATGCCTCACCGCCACCACCCCTGGCCGGGGGAGATGCCCGCGGAGCTCGGGAACGGCGCAAGGCTTCCGGGACGCCTTTACGGACGCTTACCTTCTCGATCTTCTCATCCAGCATCCGGAAGAACTCCTGCTGGCTCTCCGAGATGTGCATGCTGGAACAGAGAGAGCAGTGAGGGCAGCGCCGCGGACGGGCCCTCGCGATCCCACCCGGCGGACGGCGTGCGTGCAGCCGCGGACGGGCCCTCGCGATCCCACCCGGCGGACGGCGTGCGTGCAGCCGCAGACGGGCCCTCGCGATCCCACCCGGCGGACGGCGTGCGTGCAGCCGCGGGGACTCGGCCGGGGACAGACGAGCAGCTGGACACGGCCCCTGACACATTCGGCACCGACAGGCGAACGCCCGTCTCTGGAACCAAAACTGCCCCGGACGCGGCCAGAGGCAGGAAGCCGTACGTGTGCCACTTGGTGAGAGGCTGGCCAGCAGGCAGGGCGGACAGCAGCGGGTGGGGAGGCCTAGGAAGAGCCACTGGACAGGGCACGGTGGCCCCAGTACCCGTGGCCCCCATGTCCCGGTGCGGCCGGGGGACGTGCTACCCAGTGCTCTCGGTGCCCGTCAGCTGCAGGGTCCTCATCCCGCGCCCCCAGGAGAGCCCGAGCTGCCCTGAAGCCTGGCCTGTGGCCCGTGCATGAAGCACAGACGGTTCTCATGGCCAGGCGTGCACACGAGTCCCGCTGTCACCAGCAGTGGCCGGCAGTGGCTGGTGGTGCCTGCCCGAGGCGTAGCTGCCGGAGCACCGTCTGGGGCGTGCTGTGGCCCAGAGCACAGGCTCACCGGGCCGTGGCCCACGGCTTCATTTCAGAGGAGCGCAGAGATCCGGACGGGGCAGACCTGGGATTTTCCCTCTGATGGACTCAGCTGCCCCGGCCCCACCTGACTCCCAGCTGCACCAACACAGACCCCTTCCCATGTGACGGGGACGGGGCGTCCACCCTGCTCTAGGAGGAGCCTCCTGCTCTGGGAGGAGCGCCCCCCCAGACATTCGTCACTCCTTTCTGACGCAGGACCCGACGGCTGAGCGGGGAGGGAGGACAGGGACTCGGGTATCAGAAAGGGACCCCTGAGCTTGGTATGATTTCATTCGCAAAGTATGGATGCCTGATGCCCCAACTCATTACATCAAAATGCTTATCACCAGGGCTGGCGCTGTGGTGTGGCGGGTAAAGCCACCGTCTGGCTGGAGCATCCCATATGGGCTCCAGTTCAAGTCCCGGCTGCACCACTTCCAATCCAGCTCTCTGCTGTGGCCCGGGAAGGCAGTGGAAGATGGCCCAAGTGCTTGGGCTCCTGCACCCACGTGGGAGACCCGGAAGAGCTCCAGGCTCCTGGCTGTGGCCTGGCCCAGTGTTGGCCACTGTGGCCCTCTGGGGAGTGGACCAACAGATGGAAGATCAATCTCTCTCTGTAATTCTTTCAAAATCAATCTTTAAAAAAAATGTTTTGCCTAAGCCTGTACATTGGCATCTGGCTTAATACCAGAAGTCCAGGACCTGCTCCTTGGGCACGCTCTGCTCCCTGTGGCCGTGTGCACCACTGACACTCCCTGAGCTCACGCGCACCAAGGCTCTCAGCGTCCCGGGACCGGGACGACAACACCATGGACTCCAAGCATGAAAAGTCAAACTCACGCCTGTGGGCACACGGGCTCTGGGCTGAGAGATGCGTGCCTCTCCCTCTTAGTGACTTAAGATGACAAAGCCACTACACGAGAAGGTCCTGGGCCACAGTCCCGACGGCCGAGCTGAAGGGTGGCGGGGCCGGGTCCCTCGGAGCCACAGACCCCGGAAATCAGCAGGTGCAGCAGGCCGCTGTAGCCTCCTCTTCTCTCCCGAGAGCAGGGGCTCAACACACCTGGGAAAGAGGTCCTTCCCAGGGCGGGAGCAGCCGGACGCGGGCTGGGAGTGGGGGCCCGGAGACGCCGTGGGAGCAGCTCTCCCCCGCGTGGTCTCCGTGCATACTCCAGGTGCACCGCCCTCCGCCTCTCCCTGGCCTGCCCCGGGGAGCCGCACGTGGGTCCTGCACATCTCTGGGTCTTCGCTCTCCTCCAGGGACTCCAGGCACACACACAGCCTGCGTGTTTGCTGGGAACCCCGAGCCGGCAGAGGCCAACACCTTCCCGGCCCCACACAGACGGAATCCAGTTACCCCGGCCCACGCACGGCTCCCTCCACCTGGTCCTCATCGTTTTCCGCGGGACCTTGGCGAAGTAGACTCCTGCTTGCCCTGTTTTGTGACTGATTCCTGCAAGTGCTGCACGTGCGGCTCAGCTGCTAGTCGGTTAACTATCTTGTGTTTTAAAAAGAACACAGCAAACACCAAGCAGAAGCGGGTCCCCGCCAGCTGCCTGCGGCCGCCCTCCACATGTGCCCCAGAGCCGCTGGTCCCTGGACCCCTCCCCTGAGGCCTCCTTCCACGTGTGGCCCCAGAGCCGCTGGTCCCTCGATCCCTCCCCTGCGGCCGCCCTCCGCATGTGGCCCCAGAGCCGCTGGTCCCTCGATCCCTCCCCTGAGGTCGCCCTCCGCGTGTGCCCCAGAGCCGCTGGTCCCTCGATCCCTCCCCTGCGGCCGCCCTCCACGTGTGCCCTAGAGCCGCTGGTCCCTCGATCCCTCCCCTGAGGCCACCCTCCACGTGTGCCCCAGAGCCGCTGGTCCCTCGATCCCTCCCCTGCGGCCGCCCTCCGCGTGTGCCCTAGAGCCACTGGTCCCTCGATCCCTCCCCTGAGGCCACCCTCCACGTGTGCCCCAGAGCTGCTGGTCCCTCGATCCCTCCCCTGAGGCCGCCCTCCGCGTGTGCCCCAGAGCCGCTGGTCCCTGGATCCCTCCCCAGCAGCCACCCTCCACGTGTGCCCCAGAGCCGCTGGTCCCTGGATCCCTCCCCTGCGGCCGCCCTCCGCGTGTGCCCCAGAGCCGCTGGTCCCTGGATCCCTCCCCAGCAGCCACCCTCCACGTGTGCCCCAGAGCCGCTGGTCCCTGGATCCCTCCCCTGCGGCCGCCCTCCGCGTGTGCCCCAGAGCCGCTGGTCCCTCGATCTCTCCCCTGCGGTTTTACTGTATCTCCAGGCAGCTATTTCTTCCCGCTGCACCACGTGCAGGCCTCGGGGGCGTCATCTCGCCTCGCTGCGGGGGCCCAGCTGGCACCGTGCGTGCGGCGCGCGGCACCTGCCACTCGCTGAGCCAGGCACCCCAGTGTGCTGGGCGTGGAGGACCCAGGCTTCCTCTACTGCCAGCCCCGGCAGCCGGCATCTTCCGGTCCATCTCTCAGAACACGGAGGCTGAGACGTGGCTCGGCTGGCCGGGGCAGCAACCTGAGAGCGTGCTCCGTGCGCCACAGCCCCAGGTGCACCGAGCCTTCCTGGAGGAGCGGCCTGGTCCCCCACTGCCGGGAAGCCGCACCACGACCACATCACCGCGCACCTGCTGTCGGGAAGGCGAGATTCCTCTCGGACACCAGGAGGGTTTGCCAGCTGACTTCTGGGTGTGCTCACATACATGTACACACGTGGATTCACACTCACCAACACACACATCCATACATACCAAAACACAGACACATGCACACACACAATCATACACAACACACACGTGCACACACACAATCATACACAACACACATGTGCACACACATTCATACATACCAAAAGACAGACACATGCACATACGCAATCATACACAACACACACGTGCACACACACATTCATACATACCAAAATACAGACACGTGCACACACATTCATACACAACACATACATGCACATGCACACACACAGTCACATACATTCACACATGCATCTACACACAGCACACATACACACGCACACAGACACACACAGATACATATACACACATACATACGCACACATATCTACACATGCGCACATACACATAGTTGCATACGTACACACACAGGCACACACATACACACAGATACCCAGATGCATACATACACAAACACACATACATATGCACACACACTGGTACACACACAGGTACACACATATATACACACACACAAGCACACACACACATGCACACATATAGTTGCATACATACACAAGCACACACAGGTACACACATACACACAGATACACAGATGCATACACATACACACATACATATGCACACACACAAGCACACACAGACACACATGCACACAGACACACAGATACACAGATGCATACACATACATATGCACACACAGGTACACACAGACACACATGCACACAGACACACAGATGCATACATACACACATATGCACACACACAGGTACACACACATGCACACAGATACACAGACACACAGATACACAGATGCATACATACACACACAAGCACACAGAGGTACACACATGCACACAGACACACAGATACACACACACATACATATGCACACACAAGCACACACAGGTACACACATGCACACACACAGACACACAGATGCATACACACACACACACACACACACGTACCCGGGGGCCGAGTGCCCCTCACCACTGGGCTGAGCCAGCTCGATGCTCTCACGGCTCCCTTACTTTCACAGGCGCAGTGAACCGTGCGTGTGGGGTCATCGTCCGGCCTCCCGTACCCCTGATGGTGCGGAGACGCCTGGGGGCTGTGTGCACCCAGAGCAGGGCAGACGCTCCCGGCAGAGGGCGCTCCCTCCTGGTTTCTCCGGCCTGTGCCTGTACACTTGTGTACACTCTGCCTGGATCTCCCTGGTCCACATTTCACACACATGAGAGCAGGTGAGGCACGGCCCGGTCCCTCTGCGCCCCTGCCCCCTGGCTGTGGGCACCTGCGGGTACTCGGTTCCCACCACAAGGACAGGTCTCCGTCTCGTTGCCCGTGAGTTTTCTGATGGACTTTTGGGTTTCAGCAGCTCCTGACACAAGATGGCTGCAGGCCTGGGGGGGGGGCAGCTGCCTGGTTGGGGGGTGGCCTCGGTGCAGTCTCCCCACGTGGGGCAAGTCCTCTGTGCCAGCGTCCGTCTCCCCCGGCAGGGCTGCAGGTGCTGCCCACGTCCTGGGGAACCCTGGCATTGGCCGACTTCTAACCTCCCCCCGTCTCACAGCACGAAAAGGTGGGAGCGCCATTCCACTCCCATCTCATGCTTCCAAGCGGGCGCTCACGTCTGCAGCCTGCCCCCTCCTCCTCCGGTGGCCCCGTCTCACAAGTGAGTCACACAATGACTCCGGAATCCCACCACCGCCTAGGACTTGACTGCCAGCGTCTCCCCGGTTCCGCGGCCTTCTACTGTGCGTTGCATGAACAAAGTTCATGATTTAGTACACGCATATTAACGACCGATTTCCCGGAGGGAACGCCACCTGTGTCTCGCTCAAGATCGACCCCTGCCCCACTAAGGTGAAGCCCCCCCCCCCCCCCCCCCCCCCCCCCCCGCGGCATCGTCAGCTCCACTGGGAACTGTGGATCCGTGTGCCGCTCCCTCCGGTTCTGATCCAGCAAACCAGATGACCCCGGGCGAGGAAGCCTGGGCGCCTGGGCGAGGCTGGACCACGTGCCGGCAGGCACACACTCAGCTTTGGAATGGCACAAGGAAACAGGAACTGGAACTCACTTTGCTCGGGGCTGGTGGACTAATCCCGGGACCTCTTTGTTCGTTTTGAGTCTTACGTTTGAGCTGGCGCTTTTCTCCTGCAACAGATAAGAACACACATGTGAAACACAGGTCAGGAATGCGACTGAGCCACAGAGGGCTTCGCTGCGGGGTGGTCAGAGCTGCAGGGCCCCCCAGGACCAGCAGAACCTTCACAGGGGCGTCCTTGCCAACAGAGAACTGGCTTTAACCGGCACGCCTCTGCTTGGAGGTCGATGCACAGCCGCTATAAAGCCAACAGCAGGAGAAGGTTCTAGGGTCAGAGCGGCCGGCAGTTCCGGTTCCGCCGCAGCCATCGGCCCGAGCCAGCTCCCCTGACCCCGGGACGCCCTCTGTGTAAGACAACAGCCGTGACTGCGACGTGACGTGACGTGACATTTGCACAGGGCCACAGCCACGGCAGACTCAAAATAGAGCAATATTTACAGCCTACAGCAAGCACGGGGCTGAACGGGAAAATGCAACACGGGCGTGTGTTTACGAAGCACTCGTCGGCCTCCGTAGCCCGGGGCTCCTGTTCCCGGGGTCCCAGCCGCCTGGGGAGCAGCCGCGCGACCTCAGCGCGCTGTGAGCGTCCTGTCTCCACTGGACACTGCTGCGGTCCTCACGTGGGCAGGGGCAGAGCCCACGGTGCCTCGGCGCTCGCGGGGGAGTGCACTTCCCAAGGGGAAGAGGGACTTCTCGGGAGCACGAGGGCTTCCGGAGGTTTGCGGAACCAGCCGTGGAACCTCTGTGCGCTAAAATAAACGAGCTTCTAACGCCTCTTCCCCACGCACTTCTGAAGTGCCCCTGTGCACCCAGGGAGCCTGGGACGTGGCCGCGCCCAGGGCCCCACTCGCGGAGGCTGTGGCGAGGCGACGTGGGCAGCAGACTGGGGAGCGGTGAAGCACCCGCTCGCCACGGCCACCTCACGCGCACCCACGTGTGAGACACGGTCCATGCATGCGCTCCCCCCACGCCGGCCGCTGGCCTCACCTGCCTCTCCGGCCACTGAACAGCAGGAGGCACTCACGACCAGGGAGCGCGCATCGTGGAGCTGGCCAGGTCGGGGGACGACGGGTGGGCGCCCCGGCTTTGCAGTGGGTGGCAGAGCACCGGGAGGAGGGTGTGGTGTCACGAGGGCCCCTTTGTCTTTAGAAACCAGAGATGGAAACGGCCCAGTGCAGGGCTGAAGACGAGCGCGCCCCCGGTGGGCCCTTCTCTCTCCCGCACCTCCGTGCCCCGTGCTAGGCTCCCCACGAGGGTGTGGAGGGCGTGTGTGGCCCCCGGAACACACGCAAGGTGCAGGGCACTGCTCATGCTTGCTGTCTCCTACGCTGCACCCGCCCCCCACCCACAAGGACCCACGAGCGGGCTCCCCACAGAGGGCCAGGCCGGGCGGGAGGGAGAGCAGCCGCGGCACCCCAGCTTAGCGAGAGGACAATGACCACAGAGCGCTCGCTCCCCACGACACGTTCCCCGCATAGCCACAGGTGACCACGCGTCACACATGTGGCGGACTCCCGCGGAGCACGGGTCTCCCCAGTGACGGGCACGGGTGGCGGTGGGTCTTCCAAAGTCACCAAAAACGCCCGTCCGCCTTCGATCCCATTGCCCACAGGCCCAGGGAGCCCTGGGCGGGTGCACAGCGCTGCTCACAGAGCCACCTCCCCAGCCTCCCTGAGACCCGCCCCCCACGAGCCCACTTTACAGACGGGGAAGCCGAGGCAGGGCGAGGCCAGGCGCTTACCCAGCGATCACACGGCCCCAAGCCGGCAGTGCTACGAGCAGCCGTTCTCAAAGTCTCTCTGCCTGTGCTCTCCAGACCTGGGCACTCACACGTGCCGGAGTCACTGCCCGTCTCGTCAGAACACTCCCAACCGATGCTGGCGGCTCACGTTGCTGGCTGCAAGTTTTCCAAAATTCTACCTTCCCTGTTCACAATTAGAATTTAGGGGCCAGCGCTGTGGCACTGCGGGTTGAGCCGTCCCTTGCAGCTCCGGCATCCCAGCCTGGAGCGCCGGTTCAAATCCTGCCTGCTCTGCTCCAATCCAGCTCGCGGCTGCTGCGCCTGGGAAAGCAGCGGGTGACGGCACAGGGGCCTGTGCCCTGCACCACGTGGGAGACCTGGATGGAGCTGCTGGCTTCAGCCTGCCCAGACCTGGCTGTTGCGGCCACTGAACCCGTCTCTGCCTTTCAAGTCATCAGTCCTTCGAAACAAACACTGTCAACTGCCAAACAGTTGCCACTGTCAAACACTGCCCCGGTCTCAAGATCCCAATCCGTCTGCCAGGCGTGTTTGTGAAGGCAGAGCTGGTGGCAGTGAGGCCGTCCGCCGGCTCAGCTCGCGAGGCGTCACCGCGTGGGCTTCTCCTCGCGAGGCCCTCACACAGGCGTCTGTGCCCTCCGCCGCCCCCAAGCCGCAGGAGCTAACACATGAACAAGGCTTCGGCTCCATCCAGGGCCTTCGGAAGTGCCCACGGATCTGTCAGTCTAGCCTGGGTCCATGGTGGAGACGCCACACCAGCGGCCTTCCAGGCTGGCTGCCTCTGCCCGGACGTAGGGTCAGCACTGCCAGGGTCGCCGACGCTGCCCTGGTGCCACCCGCACGTCAACACGGGGACAAGCAGACACTCAGGACCATCCAGAACACAGCCTCGGGAACCTGAGAAGCTCAGGTCTCCCCCGTGGGGGCAGGGGCCTGAGGACGTGGCCATCTTCCACTGCCCTCCCAGGCCACAGCAGGGAGCTGGATCAGAGAGGAGCAGCCGGGACTCAAACTGGCGCCCATGCGGGGTGCCGGGCCTGCAGGCGGCGGGTTTACCCGCCAGGCCACGGCCCCACAGCCCAGCTTTCACACGGCTCCGTCACCCCTCGGTCTCCTTAGGACGCCGCAGTGGCTCCCAGCACGGCCCCAGATCTGCCTTCTCCCGAGTCCACCTTTCCCAGCCCCACGCTGGGCCACGTTGCTGAGGCGTGCGCAGGTTGAAGCACACAGTGGGATGTCACGTATGGCACCTGCTAAGCGACGGGCACACCAGGGATCCCTCGCTCCTCCACACCTGGTGGTTGGCCAAGTGTTGCCCACAGTGGTGGCAGCAGCCTGTGCGTTCAACAGGGCTGGCTGGTGCCTGTCTCTCCAGGCCGCTCCCATCAGCACTCGGTACCGCTGCTGTCATGGGTGGCAGAGGACAGGCGCTCTGCTGGCTATATTGACTTGTCCTGGGGAAACTCAGCACACAAGAACTGGCCAACAAAGGCAGGAGGGGCCGAGGGGCTGGGGAAGAAGGGCGGATCCAGGCTGGCACAGGAGCCCGGGGGGCAGCCCCGAGCCTCCAGCCAGAACAGGTGGGCCGGGGCACGCCCACCTTTCGCAGGGAATAGCGAGGTCCCAGGCATCAGGTGAGACACAGCCCAGGCCCCCGCACCCTCGGCAGACCGGCCTGGCTTGGTTCATCCCGTAGTAGCAGCTGTCGAGGGTCTCGGGGTCACCTGGGGGCGAGGCGCATGAGGACCACGACGGTGTAGGCGGCATCCATCCACGACTTTTTAAGGTTTGCCGTTCTACAGGGGGTCTTCAGAAACTTCAGGGAAGATGTGTACGACAAGAAGTTACCCATGGATTCCTACGGGTTTTCTGTCCCACCAAAATCCACTTATTTTTGAGTTCTATTTGCACGGACTTCCTGAGGTCCCTTTGTATCTCTGTGGATCCCAGGACAGAGCATTTACGCTCTCCCCCGTTGGCTACGTGTGCATAAAGGCGTCGGCTCTGCGTGTTCGCGAGCATTGAGCATCGTCTGACATCTGCTTGGGGACTGGCTTGGGGGAAGGAGAGGTTTAAAAACACCTGCAGAGAAGTGGCAAATGGCCAGGGCGGGAAGAGGGGGGTGGGAGGGAGCAGTGGGGGCTGCGGCTCAGGGCTGGAAGCAGCCTCCAGCCCCGACTGCATGGCGGGGAGCCCCGTGGCGTGTGGGTACCCCAGGGCGGGGTAGGGCGGACACTGACGCCGCTTCCTCCTGCAGGAGCCGCTCGCTGGCCGCTTGTCAGCAGAGTGCGGCAGGGCTCCGAGGGAGGAGGAGCCGCAGGCCCCCGAGGGAGCCCCTTGGACGCGCCCTGCAGGCAGCTTTTCTCCCTGATCCGGGGTTAGGATCGCGGGGACGCCCCGGCCCGGTCCCGACACGCCGAGGCGGGCTCTGGCACGGGAGTCTGTCCCCTGAGCAAGAGTGCCAGTGATTCTTGGGGAGTTTGGGAGCTTCGGCCGCAGAGGGAAGGAGCCTGCGTCCCCACCTGCCCTTCTGGGGGGCAGAGCCGCTGTTTCTTGCGACGCCCACACGCGGCTGCACGGGTGACAGGTCTGCAGCAACAGCAGTTCTGACGGCCTCTTCCTCTGCTTGGCAGCGTCGACGCCTGTCACTCTGCATCTCTCTGCCGAACAGCCAAATCCAGCGTCTACGCTGCCTCCGGTGCCCCCGTCCCGGCTGCTCCACCTCTGCTCCAGCTCCCGGCGAATGCGCCTGGGAGGGCAGCAGAGGGCAGCCCAAGTGCTTGGGTTTCACACGGGGCTTGCTGTGGGGTAACAGCAGGCTTCCAATCCCCGCCTCGTGTGCACGGCTGCTCTCACTCGCTGGTCCTCCCACCTCTCTGGGTCTCCCGGGAAAACAGGTCTGTGAGCCACGGGGCTCCCCCCTCCCCTGCTTCTCACCTCAGGGTACACCTTTCCCATTGGAGGTGAGGCGGAGGGAGGGAAGAAGGGAGGGGGGAGGGAGGAGGAGAAAGGAGGAGGGAGGGGAGAGAAGGGGAGAGGGAGGGGGAGGGGGGAGGGAGAGAGAGGGAGGGGAAGAGGGGAGGGGGAAGGAGGTGGCAGGGAGGGGGGAGGGGGGAGAGAGGGGGAGAGGGGAGGGAGGAGGGAGAGAGAGAGGGAGGGGGAGGGGGAGAGTGGGGGAAGGAGGTGGCAGCAAGGAAGGGGGGAGGGAGGAGGGAAGTAGGAGGAGGGAGGGAGGGAGGTGATAGGGAGAAAAAGGGGGAGGGAAGAAGGGGGAGGAAGGGAGGGGAGGAAGGGGGAGGGGGGATGGATGGACAGAGAGGGAGGTAGGAAGTTATAGCACAGGAGGCCTGATTCCTGTTTTTCCTAACAGATCTTCAGACGCGGGTCTTGGTGAGCTTAAAGCTCGGGGTGACCGCTGCTACCAACGTTAGCAACGCAGGGACTTGTGCGTTTACAGTCACATTCAGGAAACATCACTTCTCCCAGCCGCGTTTCCAGGCTCAGCCAGAGCTTTCCAGGAGCAGCTGACGCCCGTGTTCCACAGCCACTCCACTGCACTCATTCACCGCCGAGTCTCCTGACGGTGCCGGGCCGCCGGCTTCACTCCAGCGCACCTGCAGCTCCAAGCCATTGGCCGGTGCCTCTCACCTGGCCCGCACTGGGTCGGCCTTCCGAACACTGTCCCCAGGCTGCGCGCCGTGACGTGGAGACACAGGAGCACACGGGGAGACCGCTCACTGGGAAGCATGGATTCTGCCAGCCCCCAGCAGCCCCCAGAGTGGTCAGCGCCCACCTCTCTCCCTGCCGGGCAGCAGCCAGTGCCCGTGCGGAGGCAGATCAAGGCGGCGTCTGCTTATCTGAGGCAGCTGTTTCTGAGGAATCCCGCGTGGGTCCTGGCGCCGTGCCGCACACACGTGTCACCGGCAAAGGGGCCCCTGTTACCAACACTCAGGGTCTCCTGATCAAACTTAGCAGCATCAGAGGCTGATCCCACCACACAAGTCAGCTTCACCTGCTGGCCGACGGGCGTCCACACCAACAGCCCAGCGCCACGCAACCCCACGCGTGTGTGGGTCCGTGTGCCCACGTTCACGTGCTCAGGTCAGAGAGCCATGTGCGACAGATGACGACTCCCAGAACGCACCACGGGATTTCAAAACATTCATGGAAAATGGAATTCAGAGCTCCGTGTTTCAGGGCAGAATCCCTGGCAACCCATGCCCAGGGCTGTCATCGGACGCACTTGTCCACAAAGTTGCAAAGGCCCCTCCCAGCTGTCCACCTGCTGCTTGCACGGCAGCTGGACCAAAAACAGCTTTTGAATCTTTGTCCCTCATTGCGTTTCCCTGATTACAGGAAAGACGGCAACGCGCCACGGCCAGGCGCCCGACGGCGAAGTTCCCACAAGCTCAGCACGTACCGGCCCCCAGACCAGCTTTCACGTGATTCCAGAGCTCGACACGGCTGTTTCAACTCCAAATGCTTCGGAGATGTTTCCACCGTGACCCTGTCAGGTCACCACGATAGCCAGTGTCAGCTGTCACTCTCACCCACGGTCCTGGCCACACCCTGGGAGACGGACACGGAGTGCAGCCAAGTTCACGGGACGCAGAGCAGAGCGCTGGCCGCCGGCAGCTGCGAGGGGCCAGCAGGGGGCGTCGGCGTTGACCGGGCACCAAGCTTCCGTTTTGCAAGATAAAGAACTCAAAGGGTACCTAACACTACTGAAGAGCACACCGAAAACAGTCCAGGTGGTCCCTTTTATGGCTGTGCACTTCATCACAATTTTTAAGAATGCACAGCGGAGGCTGGAGCGAGCGCCCACCTGCCGACCCCCTGCAGTTCTTTTAAAATTGTTTGTTTCACCAAATCTAGGAAATGCTCCCTCCGTTTCCAATGCCCTGCAGAATCAAGGCTGCACGGATTTAGCGCACGGATCTGTGAAGCTGTTCACTTGTCGGTCTGCAGCGTCCGCAACCTTGGAGGCACACGGGTGTGGGTGTGCGCGTGTCCGTGACTGACAGCACCCGGGGTCTGTTGTGTGGCCTTGGTCTGTGGCCGCAGCCTCATGTCATCCCACGCGTGCCCATGGGCACTGAGAACGTGGCGTTCAGCCAGGAGGTACGGGGGGTGCCGACCGCCCGGCTCTCAAGGCGGCTGCGCCCTCAGAAACTGGACTCTGCCTCTGGGCAGGTGCAATCTCTGAGCCTCAGCTGCTTAACCTGTGAAACGGAGAAACAGAACCCTCCCCCCAAAGCATTACAACCCCGGGAAACGCGACACAACGTGCACCGCTGGCCCCTGGAACGCGGTGTTGTTCAGAAATTCTTCGGCACTGGTGTTTACCTCCAGGACACGCCCTTCTGTCTGCTCAAATCCAAATTAGTGGAACCAAAGCAATGGCGATCAAGACTTTTTAAAAGATTTACTTAATCTGAAAGGCAGAGTTACAGAACTAGAGAGAGATCTTTCATCCACTGGTTCACTCCCCAGACTTCTGCAACGGCCAGGGCTGGGCCAGGCCCAGGTCAGGAGCCAGGAGCTCCACTGGGGTGTCCCATGTGGGTGACAGGGACCCAAGCACTTGGAAGATGGCCCAGGCGAAGCAGCAGGGAGCCGGGTTGGGAGGGGAGCAGCCGGGACTGAAACCGGTGTGCAGGTGAGATGCTGGTGTCGCGGGAGGCGGCTTCACCTGCTGTGCCGCAGGGCCGGCCCTGACGAAGATCCCGCAACGGTGACTCCTGTGTCTAAGCTGAATTACCCACGCAGGCGTTCGTTCGGGGCAGAGCAGGGCTCCTGCCAGGCAGACTCGACCGTGAGCACCTGGCTCGGCCTAAAACACAACGCGATGCAGTTGGACACGGAAGTGGCTCAGAGGCGTGCAGCCGGCAGCACAGCTCGGACCTCACAGGGGCCCTTCTCTGCCTCTCACCAGCGGGCTCAAAGCCGACCGTGGAAGAACTGTACCTCACTCTACGCAGGACGATTTTAGCACTAAATGCTCAAAATCAGCGAGTGCAGGAAGATAACGGACTCTCGCAGCTACGCGCTTCGGGCATTTAACATCGATTCTAAGGAGGTGAGGATCAGACACTTGTGCGCCTACCGGTGCTGCACGGACAAACAACAGCTTACCGAGCCACCATGGTGGCACCCGAGCCATTCCTCACCGCCCCCCCACCCCCGCACCTGTGGCTGAGACAGAGCCGCCCAAGGCAGCAGAGCCCAGTGAGGGCGCCCTGTGTGTCCAGAGACAGCAGGTGTGTCTGGGCAATGACGGGTCCCCACACACAACTCCATCACTGCAGCTTGGAGGTGCAGGTCACAGCCTGGCCCTGTTTGTTACGAGAAACGCACACCTCCTGTCTGTGGTCAAGCAGGGATCACGACTGCCGAGGTCCGGAGGCGCTGACAGCTTCTGGAACACGCAGGCTGCATGGGTCTTCCTGCTACAGCCGAGTGCACCCATTTCACAGACTGTTTCGTCTGCCCCTGGAAACGGTGCACGGCAACGTTCACGTGGCCAGACGCCGGAGAACGTCCTAGAAGCCTTGGTGGGTAAAAGCCAATCCCCAGGGGTTTTCTAAAGGTAGAATCCAGAGGTGGGGGGCTCCCAAGGGGCCGCCCTTAAAGGGACCCTGCTGGCAAAGTGAGACTTCTCTGAGCCCAGGTCTACCAATCAGGGAGCAGCTGAAAAGAGGGGCAGAGCACCCGGGTAAAGGAGTCGGGGGCCCTGACTGTGGCCTTGGGCTGATTCACACCCAGTGGGCCCCGCACGCCCATTCTGGCTTCAGCTCCCTGCAGAAGGTGCCCCGTGCTGCAGGTAAACCTCCCCAGGAGTGCACTGGGCCGGGGCCGCAGCAGAGCCCGGCTGTGAAAACTGGGGCTGCACACGGCCCTGTCCTGCACGGGGCAGAGGCCATGCAGGCGAAACGGAAGGCATCAGGCAGAAGAGCTGTCGCCAGACGCCGGCAGCCCGGGGAAGCGCCGGTTCTAGTACCCACCACTCCACTTCTGATCCAGCTCCCTGCTCGTGCACCTGGGGACACAGCAGAGGACGGCTGAAGTACTTGGTCCCCTGCACTCATGTGGGAGATCCGGACGGGGCTCCTGGCTCCTGGCTTTGGTTTGGCCCAGGCCTGGCCGTTGCAGCCATTCTGGGTAGTGACCCACTGGATGGAAGATCTCTCGCTCTCTTTCTCTCTCCCTATCACTCTGCTTTTCAAATAAATAAAATACATTTATTTATTTATTTATTTTTTTGACAGGCAGAGCTAGACACTGAGAGAGAGAGAGAGAGGTCTTCCTTTTGCCGTTGGTTCACCCTCTAATGGCCGCTGTGGCCGGCGCACCGCGCTGATCTGAAGCCAGGAGCCAGGTGCTTCTCCTGGTCTCCCATGGGGTGCAGGACCCAAGCACTTGGGTCATTCTCCACTGCACTCCCGGGCCACAGCAGAGAGCTGGCCTGGAAGAGGAGCAACCAGGACAGAATCCAACACCCAACCGGGACTAGAACCTGGGGTGCTGGCGCCGCAGGTGGAGGATTAGCCTAGTGAGCCGTGGTGCCAGCCAAATATATCTTTTAAAAACACATGACGGCTGGCGCCGCGGCTCACTAGGCTAATCCTCTGCCTTGCGGAGCCGGCATGCCAGTTTCTAGTCCCGGTCGGGTGCCGGATTCTGTCCTGGTTGCCCCTCTTCCAGGCCAGCTCTCTGCTGTGGCCAGGGAGTGCAGTGGAGGATGGCCCAAGTGCTTGGGCCCTGCACCCCATGGGAGACCAGGAGAAGCACCTGGCTCCTGCCATCGGATCAGTGCGGTGCGCCGGCCACAGTGCGCCAGCCGTGGTGGTCATTGGAGGGTGAACCAACGGCAAAGGAAGACCTTTCTCTGTCTCTCTCTCACTGTCTACTCTGCCTGTCAAAAAAAATAAATAAATAAATAAAAATTAAAAAAAAAACATACATGAGCTCCATCAAGCACAGGCGGCTGGACCTCGGGCTAGGCAGACGTGCCACCAGGAACGTATCCCAGGGACAGGGCTGTGGGCCAAAGGCTGGCACGCAGCCCTCGGGGCACAACGCCTCTCACGGTGCCGCCAGCACGGGCGCTCAGGCAGCGCAGAACAGTCAGGACGACGCACAGCTCCCAAAAAGCCCTCAGGCACAGCAGGGAGCATCGCTGGCACACAGAAAACGGGCTCGAGTGACGCCGTCCCTAACATCCTCCCAGACGGGCAACGCCAGGCCGTCTCAGTCACCCCGCAGCAGAGACGCAGTCAAGGGAGGGGAGGAATCATTTCACAGGGCGCCTTTCAGAGCTGGTCTGGGGGCTCAGGCCTTAGGTCCGCAGTCTTGGGGTCCAGGGCCGGGAGGAGGACCCCCCCACCCCAAGCCAGACACCCAACATCGACTCTTCCAGCTCGCTTGATTTTCCGAGGCGGGGGGAGTTGCTCTAACAGAGGACGAGGAAAAGCACGCATTTCCTTAGCAAGACCTCGATCTGCCCGTTCCTCTGGCGCCTACAAAACCAGCGTGGTTTTGCGAACATCAGGGAGAGACGTTACTGGAGGTCTGAGCCGTCTGCATCCCTCCGACAGGCTAACATGCAAGGCTTCCACTGTAGGTTTGCAAAAAACAACACAGACTCTGGACGCTGCAAACCTGAGCAGCTCTCCAAAATGACCCAGTACCTGCCGGGCACCAGCTCGCCGGGCACCACGGGGTGTCGGCTTCTAGGGCATGGCACATGTGTGCTCTCCCAGCCCCCCAGCTCAGTGGGAAACGTGAGGCGTCACCACCGCCGGGCGCCTGTCTCCTCGGCACCCGGCAGCGTTCGGGAATTCTCGGGAACCTTCTAGTGGCTGGCTCTTCCCTGCCCGCCTGCTGCACCTCGGACCTGCTGCTGGCCCGCTCCTGCCCGGCTTTTACAGACAGGAACGCCGCGTCCACGGGGCAGGTGTCGGCACGCTCTGGACTCTCGCCCGCCCGACCTGGGCCTCGCCGCTCTCCTCCACTCCACGGTTCCTCCAGCTGGTCAGGACCGAGCACGGGCTCTGGCCGGGAGCGCATGTGCGCGTGTGTGTGCGCGTGCACTGGCTGTGGGGACCTTTCCTCCTAGTGGTTATCAGAAACCCGTTCCCAGCAGAAAACCCAGAACTCGCCTGGACACCTGTGCCATTTCTGCAGAGAGAGAAAAAAATGTGTGCATGGATCACGGGCACACGCTGAATGGGCACAGAACAACCGCACGTGAGGACGGGAAAGAACAGCTCAGACGCTGATGGGCGGAGGGGACGCGGCCGCAGGGCCAGCTCAGCTCCGCTCCGCCCAGTCCTTCCCACCCACCCCAGGGGCCTCTCCGGCTGCCCCGGCTGCCCCGGCTTCCTCAGCCGCTGGTGCCCTCCCTCCTCTCTGCACCCAGTTCCTGGGACGTCCCAGGCACACTCGTGCTTTGGCATCTCAGTGTGCAGCTTCCCCCACTGGGAAGGCTCGGGACTGTCTCCCCCGCTGTCCCGACCCCGATCCCGACCCCAGCCAGCACCGATCCCCCTGCCGTTCCCTCCGGACTGGTCAGGGCTCAGGACGGGCATCCAGTGGGGCAGTGTTCCAAGTAAGGGTCCAGGTCCGAGAGGGAGGCCGTGCTGCTGGCTCAGTGAGGTGCCCTGGAGCTGGGCTGTCTCCAACAGAAAAGCGGAATCCTTTGTGCGAACGAGGAGGCTCCGTGGGTTTGCCAAGCTGGGTGCCCGCGGTTTAGCACACCCCTGGGGCTGCCCTGATCTGCCCACCCAGGGGGGCGGCTTCTCCTCGCTTACACAAAGGCGATAAATAGCCGACCACGTAACGTCAGCCTGCCCACCTGAGGCAGGCATGGCCTGTTCACGCTGCACCTGCTCCTCACGAGTGCGTCACCCAGAGGGGTCAGACCCCTCGGCGCTCACAGCCGCAGCTCCCATGCCAGGGGTGGCACCCAGCACAGGCCGAGGCCGAACGCTGACTTGTGTAAAGGATGAACAGGACGGAGGCGACACCACTAAGCAGCGCCCGAGGTGAGGGGCCCGGCGCAGGGACCCCGCAGGCCTCCTCAAGCTCACTGAATACACGAGGCCCGGCAACAGACACACTGCTTACTTCCTAGCGTGGAGCGGGGTTCTCACCGCAGCGCCTCGCGCTGGGGCTGGGAGGACCGAGCGGCTTCCAGACCAGGGCAGAGTCGGGCCCCAGGGCCCCCAAAGCCTACTACAGCCGAGTCCTGAGAGACGGGCTGCAAGCTGGGAGGGGACCTGCAGCCAGGATCTGGGTACACCAGGTGTCCTGGGATTGGCAAAAGCCGACGAAACGGAAATCCTGGTGCGGTGGCTGCAGCCGCGCGGTGACTCTGTGACCAGGCTGCGGACAGGGAGCCCAGCCACCGTCGGAAGCTGAGCCCCAGCAGAGCGTCCTCGGGCAGGGACCACCGGGCAGGGACCACCGGGACCGTGTCAGGCCGGGCTGAGGCCCACGGGCCAGGCAGGGTCGCTGCGCAAAGGCAGATCCAGGGGTCGTGATCCTGAATCTGTGGAACTCCCCCACCGGGGAGGCGGAGGGGGGAGACAGATGGGAGGCAGGCAGCCGGCCAGTTCCACGCTGGACGGGACAAGCGCGTGCGGGATTACGATCACAGGAACGGCTTTGACATGTTTCCTGGATAAAAGGCATCCAGCTGCACAACGTGTCCTGCCACATCCTTTCCCTACTTAGCAGAACAAAGGCGTCTTCCTGCGTGTTCCGTGGGCCCCCGCGCAGCACGGCCGGCCACTCGGCGGGTGACAGCTCGGGGCTGCTTTCAGAGAGCTCCCGACTGGCAGGTGGGCGGCCGGCACGCTGCGCCAGGCTCCCGGCTTCTGTGTTCACACCGCGTGGGGTCCCTTCCCACGCTTCCCAGGGTTGACCTGTAGGACCCACATCTATGGTGGAGACCAGGGGGTCCACCTCCAGGATCAAAGACAGCAGCTTGTCTCTTGGCGCTCTGGGAGCAGCTGTGCCACAAAGGCCACCTCCCCGCCCCTGCCACGCATGGCAGGCCTCCCAGCAGCCACGTGAGCACACGTGAGCCCGACCCTGGGCCCCAGCGCCCCCGCCCTGCCCCGCTGACGCCTGAACTCGGGAGCCTCGGGAGGGAAGAGCCCGCCATTTTAAGCAGCTGTGTTGTGTGGTACTTGTAGCTTGGTGACGGATGACTGACACGCCGCGCGAGGCAGGGTCTTGGCACAGAGGGGATCCCCTCTGAAGGGTCTGCTTGCCCAAGAGGGGGCGCACAGAAGTGAGCGCTCCGGTCCCCCTACGCCTCACCAGCGCCACAGGGGTTGACAGGCAAGCGAGTCCGCTGAGCTGCAGGTGCACGGTGGCGCCCGGTGCCACTCACCGACTGCTCCTACCCACCAGGCATCGCTTCATCAGCCATGTGGAGAGGGGCCTGGCTGGAACAAGGGGCTCCCCACCACATGCGAGGCGTCGACCACCTCCAAGACTCCCCATCTCAGCTTCGACTTCCACCGCACAACTGACTTTATAAAGCAACAACCGGCAGTCACGTCTGCATGCGGGTGACGTTCTCAAAAGGACACGGAACACTGCGAGGTTTTAGTGGGGCAGAAGGACCCCACGAGGGGACGTGAACAGGAGCTGTGATCCTGGACCTGAACACAGGGAGCAGATCTCCATGGTGACCCCTCTGAACTTGTGAAACAAAATTAACAAAACAGGAACAGGCAGAGACTGGTCAGACGAGAAGGAAATGGCTGATTTCCTAAAGTGCAGAACCTAACTGAGACAGCACCTCGGACGCCAATCGCATCGGACGTGCGCGGAGTCCTCACGTGGCTCCAGCTCCTGGTGAGAGGAAACAGCTCTGCACCAAAATATTTTCTCTTTGATACAAAATTATAAAGAGACTGGAAACTGCACATTTGAAAGAACAAAACCTGTTCTGCTCACCGGAGGAATTCACAGAGCTTCGCCCGCACCCCACAGCCCTGTCCCACAGCCACACAGCTCAGACCCCACAGCCCTGCCCTACCTACAGCCACACAGCTCAGACCCCACAGCCCTGTCCTACCTACAGCCACACAGCTCTACCCCACAGCCCTGTCCTACCTACAGCCACACAGCTCTACCCCACAGCCCTGTCCCACAGCCACACAGCTCAGACCCCACAGCCCTGCCCTACCTACAGCCACA